TATCCGTGATTATCACCGGGTAAATATGCCCCCGGCGAGGTAATATAGGATAAAGCCTATTTTGTACAACTTCCCCTTACTATCCCTGTCCGCATGTGCTGCAATGCGACATATTATTTCGAAGTTTGTTACAGATTGTTTATTTTATTTTTGAATTGGATTGTTCTTTTGATTTATAATACAGAACTGATTTTGATAAATTTATAATGAAGTAAGAGACCAAGCAAGAGACCAATTAACGATCCACAAACAAGTTCACAGTTGAAAGTAAGCATTTTTTAAATGTTATAAAAAATATTGTAAATATTCATTGATTATTATTATTTGATAATTTTTTGAACCAAAAAATATTGGAAAAAGCTAAACTTATTAAACTTAATGACAGTAAAGGACAAATTAACTAATAATGGAGGTGATTTTATTCTAAATATTTTATTCATTTCTGGTATAGATTGGTCTTGGGCAAGTAATATTTTTGAATTCATCCCTTACAAATGGGCGAATATTCTGGCAAAGATATTCTTGCCTTTTGTAATCCAAAGGAGGTGGTGTTAACACTAAAATAGATAAAGCTCTAATTTCTTCAAAGATATCTGTTTTCTTGGTTTTCAATAAATTGAACTCAACAAAAGGTCCATTAGCAACTTCTTGAACTTTCACTATACCAAAATTAGATGCTTCAAAAAGAAAATGTTGATATTTCTGGATGCTTGGTAATTTCTTAAAATAAATTCCCAAAATAGCTTTAATATCTAAGTATTGAAAACCTCCTCCACCTTCATAACATTGAGCTTTATTCAATCTAGCTGGACTAGACTTTTTTACCACCTCAACCACATGATCTAGACAATCTACTCTTGTTTTTCTGTAGTTTTTTTATAAAATTAAATTTGTGAAAATTATTAGAAATACAATCAATTTCTAACCTTTGTCTCGAATAAAGATAATAATTAAATTCATGAAATTAGTGGATCTAATCTGAAACAAAAAACAATCAATTTCTATCTTTTGTCACCTTAATCCATAGAATAAAGATCCTTTACCAAATTTCTTATATAAAGGATGAATTTACTGCCATGTACCTGTTATAAAAAAAAAATATTAATTGTTTAATTAATTAAAATGAATACACAAAGAAATAATGCTGAAGGAACATCTGGACCTACTAGTAAAGGAGGCAGTAAAAAAGGAAGGAAATTAAAAACTCTTACAGCTATTAAAAAAAAAGAATTATGTGAATATAAACTTGATAACCCATCCAAGTCACATGAAGCAATTGCTGAATTATTTGAAATTAGTAAATCAACTGTGGGTGATATTTTGAATAACAAAGAAAAATGGCTTGCAGTTGCAGAAAATTCAGCAGATGCCAATAAAAAACGTGGTCGTGGAAGTGAATGGCCACAGTTAGAAGAAGCATTGTTGATTTGGGTAAATCTTGCCAATGAGGCTAATCATACAGTAACTGGTGCAATTCTGAGCCAAAAGGCAGCACAATTTGCTCGAAGACTTGATATTTCCGATTTCAAATCATCACAGGTATTAATCTCTTTTGTTTTAATAAACTGTGGTACAGTATAACCCTTGTTTCAACGGATTATAATTAAATTCGCATTTCAACGGAATTTGAATGAAATTTTCTTATATGTCCAGACATTCCATTGTATACTGTATTAATTTATCAAATCCGTTGATATCTATTATTGTTTTTTTTTTAAATAGGGGTGGATTTCCAATTTTAAAAAAAGAAATAATATTAAAGAACATTATAAATCAGGAGAAGCAGCAAGTGCACCAATTAGTGAATTACCTGCATTTAGAACTGAACTACAATCTATAATTGCACAGTATGAATTGTCAGATGTATATAATGCAGACAAAACTAGTCTTTATTGGAAATTAGAACCCCATAAATCTCTTGCTAGTGGATCTCTTACTGGATTAAAAAAACCAAAAGATAGAATTACTGTGATGCTTGCATGTAATATAAATGGAACTCATAAGTTACCTCCAGTATTCATCTATAAATTTAAAAATCCACGCTGTATTCATAACATTGATAAAAAATCACTTCCTGTATGGTACTATTGGAATAATTCATCATGGATGCAATGTTCTATTTTCCAAGCATGGATTAGACAATTTAATCAAGAAATGCAAAAAAGGCAAAGAAACATTTTATTATTAGTAGATATGTTTCATAACATCAATTGGAAGAAGGTGAAGAGTTGAGCAATATTAAATTGCATTTTCTTCCACCAAACACAACTTCTCATCTTCAGCCAATTGATCAAGGCATAATACGATCATTTAAAGTAATTATAATATTAATCTTTTGTAAATTTATTAATAATTTTACCTTATTTGTCTAGGCTCATTATAGAAAATTACTATGCCAAGATAGGATTCAAGCATTTGATGAGCACCAAGAACTTGGTGTTGAGATTCCTAAATTAAATATTTTGAATGCAATTAATTGGACTGCAGAATCCTGGGGTAATGTGACTGATGATACAATATACTGTTGTTGGCAAAGAACAGGTATTCTACCTAATGAGGAAATGATTGAAGAAAATGAAGAAATTTTTGAAGGACCAGATGAATTAGAATATGAAGAAAATGCAGTCCAAACACTTATTAATCAAATGGATGTTGATGATATCACAGCAAGCAATTATATTAATATTGACTCTAGAATAGAAATTGCCGAAGTGATTGATGAAGATGAAGAAGAAGAAACCATGAGTACACCAATATCATATCCAATTGCTTTAGATAGTATTAAAAATCTATTTGACTATTTGCAACAAAATTCTGATATAAAAGTAAATAGCTCAGTAATATCAGGAATGAGAGACTTACAACATCAAATTAGAAGAAAACAAAATGCATCTCTAAAACAACCTACCTTAGAAAGTTTTTTTTATAATGAATAATTGTTTTAAACATTTTAATTTATTATTATTTAAATAAAATCTGATTGGATATTTTTATGTAGATCAATTTTGATATAAAATTTGATAAGTTGGTTCTCTCGAATGAGCTTGCCCCAGCATGATCGACTTATCAAATTTACATGTGTATTTACAACATTATGGTGGCCAAAATTATTTATGGATTTACAGAATTTAATTATGGAAAACTTTTTTTTATTATTATTTTTATTTTTGGTTTTCTTAGTATTTTCAGTGCCAACTATATATACAATGGTAAAATTCCTTTTTTTTAATCAGCCAATGACCAAAATAATCCATCTAGATTTATAACTGTCAAGAGTTGCAGACATTTTCCCAACATCTATTATATAATATATATATTTATTATAAATGAATGAATATAAATATAAATTATTTATTATACAAGAAATGAATTTTTTAAACATAC